TCCTAGATGGCACGGCTTACGTGGCTGATGTAGCCGCCGCTTGATGAGGTGCAGCTGTGACCGATCAGCCTGTGATGATGATGGCCAGGCGCTCCTCGCTTGTTTCCAGGGCGACGCTGATGAAGCCTTGGGATGCTCGTCACAATATTTATATATATATATATATATACACAGTTCCACAGTTATTCTTGTAGTAGTAATTTCACAGTATTATCTCTTTTACTGTATTTTTGATCTGATAATAACAGCCTTGGTGAGCATAAAATACTTTAAAAATAAAAAAACGACTTCATTATTCCAAGCTTTTGACTAGTTGTATATATATCTTGTCTTGTGCATAGTTTTTGAATGCTTATTGAGTGTTTACTTATTATGCATTAAAATATATGTGGGTCATTATACTCCTACTTACAATAATTACATAGTTTCATAGTTTATTTTTAATCTAAGTTTTAATTTATTAAAGTTTTAATTGCAAAATGACTCAAAAAGGTAACAAGTGCCATATTTTTTTAAGCCACTCTAAACTCAGTCAGTCATTTTGGGCCGCAATAAACAAACATTCTGTAAAATCTTAGTAAGACTGTATATAACGTTGACTATGTACAGTGTAACATGGCCTCCTATTCCTTATTGCTGAATTGCGACACAACATATCATTGTAATGAGAATATTCAATATTCAATTGTCGTCAATATTCAGTGCCGTGTTCAAGGCAGATGATATACACCAGTATAATGGGAATACACATCAATTAATAACAGCTTAGAAAAAGTTGGCTACCAAGGTTTTGCACAACTTTGTTCTCATCAGGTAACACCCCAGCTTCCTCTGACCCCACTGAGACCTTTGTGACATCAGTGGTGATCAAGCACCTGTGTTTCTCATGCTCTTTGATACCCACAGGTGCCACAGCACATCTGTAAACACACAGTCGGACTCTTTAGAGAGTTGAGCGAATTAATTCAACTGAAAAAGCAGCTGTATCAGCTCACAGTCCATTAAATTGATATGATATGATATTCTTATTTTAACAGTTGGATAAATATAGAATATACAAATATTTATTATTTTAATAAATTTAAATATATATATATATATATATTTTGAATAATTATTTGTGTGATGTTTTTTTTTTTATAGTTTTATGTTTTATTATTGTTTTCAAAAATACAGTAAATATTTTTTACAATATTATATTATTACAAACTTTTCTATTTTTGGCAGACATTACTCCAAAGTGTCATATGATCCTTCAGAAACCATTCTTATTTATTATCAGTTATTATTTGTGCTCAGTTAATAATAATAATATCAATGCTGAAAACAGTTTTTGCTGTATTATTTATGAAAATATTTTTGTGGAAACAGTGAAAAGCATTTATTTGAAATAGAAATCTTTTGTAATATTTTATGTATCTTTTGCTATTACTTTTGATCTCTTTACTGTCACTTTTGATCAATTTAATGCATCCTTGCAGAATGGAAGTATTCATTTCTTTTAAAAAATCAAACTTACCCTAAACTTTTGAATTGTAGTGTACTTTATCACGGTTTCCACAGAAATATTAAGCAGCAAAAACTGTCTTCAACATTGATAGTAAATGTTTCTTGAGTACCAGATAAGCATATTAAAATGATTTCTGAAGAATCATGTGACACTGAAAACTTAATGGCTGATCACATCAATAAATATATATTTTTCTAATAAATTAAAACAGAAAAAAAATATTTTAAATTGTAATAATATTTCACAATATTACTGTTTTTACTGGATTTTTGATCAAATAAAGCTTTGGTGAGCATAACATAAGAGACTTAAGTAGAGTAGATCTAAGTTAAATCTTAATTATTCCAAACTTTTGACTGTTAGTGTATGTTTTATTAGAAATGGAATAACAGCGAGTGTATGAATGTATTTACTAACAATAAAAAAGAGCTGAAATGGAGCCTGTTTTTGCATATGCAAAGCTGGCACATGAGAGGTTCGAAATATGGGCATGTGTATCCTAGACCCATATAAAAAAGATGGGTTTTGACGGGTGTAGGAATTGGACACTTTTTGTTGCGGATGCTAATATAGTTGTCTTTATAGTTATCATGCTTAACAAGCCGTTTATGTGTGTATGCACCTGTTGTGAAGCCATTGGAAATAATGGGTGAGAACTGAGCAGATAAATATGCAAAGTGTCCAAAATTATAACTGATCTTGAAATAGTTGAAAGTACAGTATATCTTTGGCCACTTATTTTATAACATGTTCAAAATAAGTGTATTTACGGTTGTCTTGCTGTGAATCTAGGCTGTAATCTTATACCTGTTTTAAGAGGCAGAAATAAGTGTGACATATTGATAAGGCCCAGGTTTTCAGTTCGGTGCTCTTCCAAGTCTTCCCAGTTTGTCCTCCTACACTCTTTGTTCACTGTAATCTGCATGAGCTCTGAAGCATTTAAGCAACACATTAGCGCTGACTGTTTGTGTCTTGTGGTGTAAAGTGTTCCGCATCTGCCAAATCCCAGCGCTGCTCTGGGCCTATTTATACAAGGATGAGCTAAGCCAGCAGATCATGAGGCTCAGCACAGCAGCTTACCATGAGAACAAAGGCTCAGAATGATTTAGTGCTCACTACAGATACAGATGTTAAGTTACAGATGCTTCATTCATAAAAGATTTGTGTATGATTTTAGTCTTTCACATAAGGATCCAGTTCTATTCGTATATCACATTTTTTATAGGGACCATTGACTGATTTTAGAGTTGTTTTTTTTATTTATCCGTAGTGATGAGTATTGTACAAAATATTAAATTATGCTAATTTCTCATAATATTTTTTTTTGTGCATTTTAGTTATTTTTTTTGTTTACATTTTAGTACATTTCTGTCATCTAACACACAAATAAAGTTAATCTAAACATTAATAATTTTAATGTTAACACTGTTTAATTTATTAACACTGTTAAGAATGAAATCTTCATTAAATATTATCTCAAAATAAATATAATATTATAATGTTGCAGGTCTAAATTCTCTTGTAGTATTTAAAATAATTGGTTTTAATTTTCTTTAGTAATTTGTTTGTCATGTATTGAGCATAGAATTTTACTATAGCAGATATATTTTTTAAAGTAGCATAGATAGACTATATCAGCCATAAATGTAAAATAATTATCCCCTTATAGGTACTGAACCACTGTTTCTGTGCATCTCTAAGAATATTAAGTTAAGTGTTCATATGCTGCAGTATTTGAAAATATATGTATTTATTTTGAATTCTTAATAAATATTGTGTAAAAATGTGTTCATTTAACATTAATTTCATGTGTAATTATTAATAACATCAGGTACCCTGTACCTTTGATAGTAGTATTTATAAAACATTTTGGATGGTTGCTTTTGTCTCTGGGTTTTGAATATGGTCCAACAAGGAGTGTGAGTCACCCAGTGTTTTGCTATTTTGCTATATAAGTATCAGGGTTGTACTCTCTCTCTCGCTCTCTCACTCTCTCTCGGTGTGTGTGTGTGTGTTTGTGTTTATGTCTCACTGATCAGTGTGTTATCATTCAACATATTTTCACGTCTCACTATGAATAGGTATTTATTGCACCCCATTGTCACGAGTCATTGTCACCTTTGCCATCTGGGTCTGTTCATCCTCTCACATTGCATTTCTTCTGTTTTTTTCTTCCTTTCTCACAACCTGCTCTGGCTCACAGGAAGACCAAGTTGTGCTCCAGTGCACCGCGACTGTTCTGAAGGAGCAGATCAAACTATGTCTTTCCTGTGAAGGCTTCGGGAACCGTCTGTGCTTTCTAGAGACAACATCAAATGCCCAGGTATAGTGATCAAAAAAGTGGCAGAGTGTTGATATCCCAGGCAGGAATGCCACTCGTCATTACAAATATCCACTGTACCAAACTATTACAGTGTACCATGTTTTTCCCCCCATTTTTTTTTTAGCTATATCACAGTTATTTTATAAATACAATATAGCTACAGTGGGGCAAAAAAGTATTTAGTCAGCCACCAATTGTGCAAGTTCTCCCACTTAAAAAGATGAGAGAGGCCTGTAATTTTCATCATAGGTATACCTCAACTATGAGATATATAACAGTTCTTTTTGTAAGGCAAATAATATTACGTTTTATATGCAAGGTATTTTATTAGTATTTTTATATTTCTCATTTAAGTTATCCAGTGTACCAAACATATGTTCCCTTTCAGTCGGTCACTCTCACTGTCACGTCGGTGATGACTGACGAATTGGGATCTCGCCAGAGAGACCAATCCACTTCGAGTGTAACTAGACGAGCCAATGGACATTGGCTTGCGGATTTAGCATCTGCCTGCCACCACCGCAGCACGGGTATAAGAGGCAGCAGGTGCACCGCATTAATTCATCCTTTCACTTCGGAGCCGAGCGGTGGTGCATCTCTACTGCTCTCTACTTTGTGTTGCGGAGAGACAAGCGAGTGCGGGCGTTACGGCACAGCAGCAGTGGTCACGATCTCACGAAAAAAAAAAGAGATTGTCCTCGTGCAGACAGCCACACCAGGAGTGTGCGGTGGCCAGCTCCCCTGCGTGCTTCAGCACAAAACGAGCAATCTCTGAAAGAGCAACACGGGTGATCACGTCTTTTTAAAGATGTCTTATCACCCGTGCGTTTCTGGATGTGGTCGCTATCTGGTGCCTCAGGACGGTCACAATCGCTGCCTCAAGTGTCTAGGCATTAGTCATGCTGAGGAGGTGTTCGTGGATGGTGCATGTTCTTCTTGTGGGGACATGACCATCTCGGAGCTGCATAAAAGACTCCGCTATGTCAAACGTGGCAGAGTCCCTCTGCCTCTGCCGCGATCCAGCGCTCGTCCCGGCACCTGGGGCGGCGTTGCGTCCGGTGTAGTCAGAGGTGATTTGAGGGTTACTGTGAAGGCTTCCCCAGAGGGAGTTCCTCACCCCTCAAGCACTCCGCAGCCGGTGGAGCGGCCAGAGGGGCGCACTGGCTCCTCTACAGGATGGAGGGAGAGCCGGTCCCTCCAGCCGATATGAGGACAGGGTTTAACAGCCCTTACTTCACTGTGCCCAAGAAAAGCGGTGGGGTACAGCTTCAGCACTGGCTCCATGGCCGAGTCCCAAGGTGGGCATGGCGACACAGTACTCACCAGGTTCAGATTACACAGGCCTTCCGCAGAACCTTCAGTCTGTGGACAGATCCCTCATTCCTTCGGGGAGGAGTGCCCCTGGAACAGGAATCCAGGCATGCTGTGGTATTCACGGACTCGTCCACCGGCTGGGGAGCCACGTACAACTGGCACGCAGTTTCAGGGGTATGGAGGGGTCCCCAACTGCGTTGGCATATCAATTGCCTCGAGTTGCTGGCAGTATGCCTTGCCCTGAACCGCCACCATCGCGTATATCAACCGGCAAGGCGGTTTACGCTCCCGTCACATGTCGCAACTCACCCGCCACTTCCTCCTCTGGAATCAGAAGCATCTGAGGTCCCTTCGTGCCATCCATATCCCAGGGGTGTTCAATTGGGCAGCCAACGAGCTGTCTCGAGCAGCACTTCCAGGGGAGTGGGGACTCCATCCCCAGGTGGTTCAGCTGGTTTGGAGACGGTTCGGAGTTGCTCAGGTAGACCTATTTGCATCTCCAGAAACCACCCACTGCCAGTGGTTCTACTCCCTAACCGAGGCAACGCTCGGCACGGATGCACTGGCACACAGCTGGCCACGGGGCCTGCGCAAATATGCGTTCCCCCCAGTGAGCCTGCTCGCACATATACTGTGCAAGATCAGGGAGGACGAGGAGCAGGTCTTGTTAGTGGCTCCATATTGGCCCAACAGGACCTGGTTCCCAGAACTCATGCGCCTCGCGACAGCCCCTCCCTGACCAATTCCTCTGAGGAAGGATCTACTTTCTCAGAGACAGGGCACCCTCTGGCACCCGCGTCTGAACCTGTGGAAACTCCATGTGTGGTCCCTGGATGGGACGCGGAGGTTCTAGGTGACATTTGCCAGGGAGTATCTCTCACTATTGCTTCAACACGAGCGCCATCCACAAGACAGGCCTATGCGCTGAAGTGGAACCTGTTCGTCAAATGGCGTTCCTCTCACCAGGAGGACCCCTGGAGATGTTCAGTCAGAGCCGTGCTTTCCTTCTTGCAGCAAGGGTTGGAGCGTAAGCTGTCCTCCTCCACTCTTAAAGTTTATGTTGCTGCTATTTCTGCCCATCCCGACCCCATAGAGGGGAGGTCGGTAAGGAAGCACGATCTGGTCATCAGGTTTCTTAGGGGGACCAGGAGGTTAAATCCTCCTAGGCCTCCCTCCCTACCCTCTTGGGATTTGGCATTGGTGCTAAGAGCCCTACAAACTGCCCCTTCAAGCCTTTGCAGTCAGTCGAGTTGAAGTTTCTTTCTATGAAAACCCTACTCCTGACTTCATTGGCCTTGATCAAGAGGGTGGTGGACCTGCAGGCATTTTCAGTCGACGAATCGTGCCTTGAGTTTGGGCCGGCTGATTCAAGTGCAACACTGAAACCCCGACCCGGCTACGTGCCCAAGGTTCCTACCACCCTTTTCAGGGACCAGGTAGTGAACCTGCAAGCGCTGCCCCTGGAGGAGGCAGACCCAGCCCTAGTTTTGCTCTGTCCTCTACATGCACTGCGATACATGCAGTACGTGGATAGAACTCAGAGCTTTAGGACCTCAGAACAGCTCTTTGTCTGTTACGGTGGAGACAGAAGGGGAAGGCTGTCTCCAAGCAGAAGATGGCCCACTGGATAGTGGATGCCATCACCTTGGCCTATGAAGCACAAGGTGTGCCCTGCCCGCTCAGGCTGCGTGCTCACTCCACTAAGGGTGTGTCGCATCATCCTGGGCGCTGACTCATGGTGCCTCGCTAGCAGACATTTGTAGAGCTGCGGGCTGGGCGACTCCTAACACGTTCGCTAGGTTCTATATAGGGGTGGCACAATACCACTTTTTCAGAACTGATACCGATCCGATACAACAAGTTCTGAGTATCGGACAATACCGATACCGATCTGATACCAGCACAGTTTTTTTTTATACCTCAGTGTGTGTTGACCTGATCATCACTCTTTTGTGTGTTACACACAATCTACTAAATATAGACAACTTCATTATAAAGAAATAGAACAAATTAAAAAATATATAATAATAATCTATGAGAAAAATACTATTATAAACTAGGTTAGTGGATAATTCAGCAGCAAACATTACTCTACAAAAATGATGAGTTTACAATAATTTTTAATAAAATCTAAACATTTAGAGAAAAAACATTATTTAGTGGGGAAAAAATTTAAGTAAATAGGTGTAATCTGGTAAAATGTTACACAGTGCTCTTTGTATTGTATTATACATGAATGAAAAACTAGTAAATATTATTATATATAAATATATGCAATGAATTAAATACATTTCTTTTACATTTATAGCACAGTAATAAGGCAGCAACATACGATAGATAAGACAGAACAAGAAAGGCAATCTTTAACAATCTTTCATTGCACAAAAGTATTATAACATGAAAGGCTCCAATACAGAGTGGCACAAAGCGCTTATGTGCATCCCGTGTGCAGAATGATGCGCTTGAAGCAACAGAGAGAAAGGTTTAGAAAGGTTTTTAAACGACAAAACACTAATTTACAATCGAAATATCAGATTGTTCATGACATGATATGCAAATTTGTGAGTATTTTAAATAAAAAAGGAAAAACAAAATAAAAGTGATCCATCTGTCATACAGTGTTTTTGTGGCCGCGGTGTATCACGTGACAAGCATGACGAGTCGCCATGGAGGGGGAAACGCTCTAAAATAACGGTCGCCTTAAAAAAATCACTCTGGGGGGACAACTAGAATATTTTAAACTCACCACTGAAGAGTTTCGTCATCTTGTCTGTCATAATCAAACGCTACGCGCAGTTTAAATGGTGAATGGAGGATAACTGACAGCCGCAGCGGGGAGAAGAGTTTACTGGAGCTTGAATTTAACGACTTAAATATTCATCTGTACCTCACATTAAACTGTGGAACGGTCTCAGAACACTTGAAATATAGTGCACGGAAACTTTATGGTGCTTTATAATGTTTTTGTGCCTTTCGTGGGGCTTAACAATAACACCGAATAGTATATGCACAATATCGGATTTGGATCGGTCTTGTCTGTCCGATACCCTGATCCAGCAGAAAGTGGCAGTTTCGGAGCGATACCGATACTGTATATCAGATTGGCGCACCCCTAGTTCTATAGCCTGCGTGTCGAACCGGTTTCCTCCTGTGTTCTCACCTCAAACGGGTAGTGGCACTGAGAGGCCCGGTTCAGAGTCGGCTTGCTCCTAATTCTCCAGAGAGTTCCCTGACTGGGCAAACCCTGTCGAGTCTTCCAGCACTCTGGCGGCCAGACGTGGTGGAGCATCCGGCGCCAGGCCTTTCAGCCAATGAATTCCTGAAACCTGGTGCGAGGCTAGTGCCCATATTCGCATATGTGTATTTCCACGGTACAGTTACTAGGGCCGTGTTTCCCCTGGCAGACCATGTTCTGCCATCTCTAAATGATGCAGCCTGGGCCATTTCAGAGACTTCCATGTGCAGTAGAACCCTACAGGGTTACTCAACGTGAGTAAATGTCACTTAACCCCCTCTGAGAGGAGGTGACTCCACAGCATGCCCTTTCCAAATGGATAGGGCACGCTTTGCCAGTGTTATCCAAGTCCAACTGTTGGATTGCGAGGAACAGCTGTAGTCAACCTTCTCTGTGTAGAACCCGGTCCTGTCGTCTGCCTTATAGGAAGGACCAGGAGGAGGCACTGGAGGGGGCAGCACCTGTGGCGTGTTGGTAGGGATCCCAATTCATCGGTTATCACCAACGTGACGTAGAGAGTGACCGACTGAAAGGGAACATCTCTGTTATGTATGTAACCCTCGTTCCCTGAAGGAGGGAACGGAGACGTCACGTCCCATCGCCACAGTTGCTGTACCACCGCTGAGCGGCTGGGTCACCGGCTCGGCTCCTCAGCGAAAACATTAATTAATGCGGTGCACCCGCTGCCTTTTATACTCGCATTGCGGTGTGTGGCAGCCAGATGCGAAATCCTCATGCCATTGGCTCGTTTAGTTACACTCAAAGTGGATTGGTCTCTCTGGCGAGATCCCAATTCGTCGGTCATCACCGACGTGACGTCTCCATTCCGATAGTGGATGCCATCACCTTGGCCTATGAAGCACAAGGTGTGCCCTGCCCGCTCAGGCTGCGTGCTCACTCCACTAAGGGTGTGTCGCATCATCCTGGGCGCTGACTCATGGTGCCTCGCTAGCAGACATTTGTAGAGCTGCGGGCTGGGCGACTCCTAACACGTTCGCTAGGTTCTATATAGGGGTGGCACAATACCACTTTTTCAGAACTGATACCGATCCGATACAACAAGTTCTGAGTATCGGACAATACCGATACCGATCTGATACCAGCACAGTTTTTTTTTATATGCACAATATCGGATTTGGATCGGTCTTGTCTGTCCGATACCCTGATCCAGCAGAAAGTGGCAGTTTCGGAGCGATACCGATACTGTATATCAGATTGGCGCACCCCTAGTTCTATAGCCTGCGTGTCGAACCGGTTTCCTCCTGTGTTCTCACCTCAAACGTGTAGTGGCACTGAGAGGCCCGGTTCAGAGTCGGCTTGCTCCTAATTCTCCAGAGAGTTCCCTGACTGGGCAAACCCTGTCGAGTCTTCCAGCACTCTGGCGGCCAGACGTGGTGGAGCATCCGGCGCCAGGCCTTTCAGCCAATGAATTCCTGAAACCTGGTGCGAGGCTAGTGCCCATATTCGCATATGTGTATTTCCACGGTACAGTTACTAGGGCCGTGTTTCCCCTGGCAGACCATGTTCTGCCATCTCTAAATGATGCAGCCTGGGCCATTTCAGAGACTTCCATGTGCAGTAGAACCCTACAGGGTTACTCAACGTGAGTAAATGTCACTTAACCCCCTCTGAGAGGAGGTGACTCCACAGCATGCCCTTTCCAAATGGATAGGGCACACTTTCCCAGTGTTTTCCAAGTCCTACTGTTGGGTTGCGAGGAACAGCAGTGGTCGACCTTCTCTGTGTAGAGCCCGGTCCTGTCGTCTGCCTTATAGGAAGGGTCAGGGGCCTACACAGGGCACTGGAGGGGGCAGCACCTGTGGCATGTTGGTAGGGATCCCAATTCGTCGGTCATCACCGACGTGATGTTGAGAGTGACCGACTGAAAGAGAACGTCTCGATTACGTATGTAACCCACGTTCCCTGAAGGAGGGAACGGAGACGTCACGTCCCGTCGCCACAGTTGCTGTACCACTGCTGAGCTGCCGGGTCACCGGCTCGCAGGAATGCGGGAAGTAGGTGTGCTGAGGGGGCTGCAGCACCCCCTGTTTTCACATGGTTGCAAATGCAACGCCAAGTTTGTTCATTTAAATGTATTCAGCTTTAGCATTTAATAATTTATTTGTAATGATCTCTGAAATGTAAATTGTAAGTGGCCTGTAATAAACCCATGTTTATCTTTATAAACATGATAAAATTTTACTTGTGATGTTTTCTATATGGGATTATTAGCCTAATCCTCATGAACACGTGACGCTAGCGACCAGTTTTGTTGTGTCAGGCAAATAATACTCATAAATAATACAAATTTAAAAAAAAAAGTATAATAATGATAACTTTTGTATATATTTTAATTGTTATATTTTTAATTAAAGTGATTACATTTTGTTATTTATTTTAATTTATATAGAAGTATTTTTAAATTAAATATTATATTTTATATGCATTATGTTATTTTAATAATATTTCAACATTTCTCATTACAATATCCAGCATACCATATTATTTTACTATATCACAAGTTATTTTTGTCAGGCAAATGATGCTCAATGCTAAAAAAACAAAAGAATAGTTTTTTCTTTAAATTATATGCTTAGTTTTTATTAAAATTGCTTTTTAGATGCATGTTGTTATTTTATTAATATTTTATCATATTTAATATGTCTGTACACAAATACGTTACAGTAGACAAAGAAAATGTGCTGTGCTGCATATATTTACAAGCACTGCTGAAAGCAGCAATCAACATTTTTCACAGCTAAAACGATTTTTTAAAGATCCCATGAATCGGTAAGGGTATCATGCCAGTGTAACATCTGTATTTGTTTTTTTTAAAATCCATTAATTATGCATAATTCCAAAAATGTGTGCTGCTTTGTCTTCGTCTGCAGAATGTGCCGCCTGATCTGGCAATCTGTGCCTTTGTATTGGAGCAGTCGCTCTCAGTACGAGCCCTGCAGGAGATGCTGGCCAACACCGTGGAGATGAACGAGGTGAGAGTCTCCATGAAGGAGAGAGAGAGAAGGGTGGAGAGCAGGGAGCACTTCTAAAAGCAGAGGGTCAAAAAGAAAAGGAATGGTGAACAAAGTTTTGGGATAATTGAAAAGATCTAAATGTTACGTCCTTTTGCAATTTACATATACATACAGTATGATGTAGCCTGTAGAGTTAAAGGGGTCATATGATGATGCTAAAAAATAACATTATTTTGTGTATTTGGTGTAATGAAATGTGTTTATGCGGTTTAAGGTTAAAAAAACACATTATTTTCCACATACTGTACATTATTGTTTCTCCTTTATGCCCCGCCTTTCTGAAACGCGTCAATTTTTACAAAGCTCCTCGTGCAAGCAAAGTGTGCTCTGATTGGCCAGCAATCCAGTGCGTTGTGATTGGCCGAATACCTCAAGCGTGTGACGGAAATGTTACACCCCTACCATACTGTGATGCCGTGACCTGGTGCAACGAGACAAAATCAATAAAACCCATTACAAACGAGGCATTTGTTGCGTCCAGTGGGGACATAATTACTGATTATAATGACTTATACTGTCTTTTTATGTGTTGCGTTGCAAACATAAAACCATGTCTGCATTTGTGATCGGAGAAACGACAAACAAGTGCTACTCTACACTGCTCAAAACTTGCGTTTGAATCGTCAGTGGGAAATTCTTTAAATTTGAAAACATACTTACAGGCTGTGAGTCTGAACAGTCGGCATTGTAGGCTACTCTCCAAGGTTCAGGAAATAGTCCTCCATAAAATGCATTGCACACACACAAATATTTGGTTGAACTGTTCTGGAACAGTGTTGTAAATACAACTTAACCACTGATTTCTAGCCGTGTCCTCTTTTGGAAAGCTAAACAAAGTAGTTTCGCTTTCACAACAAAACACACAGCATCTCCACGACATGCGGTGGCGGCAACCAGGGCCGGACTGGGACGTAATTTCAGGCTGGGAAATCTCAAACTCATCCAGGCCACACAGATAAAAAGGGGCCAACATTTTACCTTTTAGGGTACAACAGCTTGTCACTGTAGCAGTACTCTTTTTTTATATTTGTAACTTTTTTACTCCTAATAGGTACATATTAGTACCTTAGAGTAGTAATTCGTACCCTTAAGGTACTAATTTGTAGGCCTACCTATTAGGGGTAAAAAAGGAACAAATATTTCCTTTTAAGAGTACTGCTACAGTGACAAGCTGTTGTACCCCAAAATGTAAAATTTTGGCCCCTTTTTTTCTGTATATAGCCTATGCATCCACAACAATTTCTGAAACCACAGAAAACCCTAATATTTGTATGGCCATCACATAAAAAGGTCTAAACCCTTAGTCTAAGGCCATGGAAAATAATTAAAGGTTCTCTCTTGCACTGCACCTTCACTTCCTTTTCCCTTTTCTTAATTTTCCCCAATATCTCGGTCTCTCCCTTTTTTGCTGTCACTTCTTCACCAGCAGGTCTAATGTTATGAACAGAACTGTGTCCACCTTGTTGAAAACAACCACCTCATTTCAATGTGTTGTTAGCACAGAATGTTATTTATCTTAAAATGACTTAAATACCCTAGATTTAACAAACCTATATTACATACAGATATACACTACCAGTCAAAGGTTTTTTAACAGTATGATTTTTAATATTTTTAAAGAAGTCTCTTCTGCTCACCAAGTCTGCATTTATTTGATCCAAAGTACAGCACGAGCAGTAATATTGTGAAATAGTTTTACTATTTAAAATAATTGCTTTTGATTGGAATATATTTTAAAATGTAATTTATTTCTGTAATCAAAAAGCTGAATTTTCAGCATCATTACTGCAGACTTCAGTGTCACATGATCCTTCAGAAATCATTCTAATATGCTCATTTGCTGTTCAAGAAACATATTTGTTGTTATCATTATCATCAATATTTAAAACAGTTGAGTACATCAGGGTTTTTTTATGAATAGAAAGATCCAAAGATCAGCATTTATCTGAAATAAAAAGCTTTTGTAACATTATTCATGCACTATACCAAAAGCCTGGAGTCATTAATTTAAAAAAAAATTGAGGGGGGGGGTTATAGAAATGATTACTTTTATGTAGCAAGGATGCTTTAAATTGATTTTTAAAATGATGATAAAGACATTTATGTTACAAAAGATTTCTATTTCAGATAAATGCTGTTCTTCTGAACTTTCTATTCATCAAGGAAACCTGAAAAAAATCTAATCTGTTTTCAACATAATAATAATAATAATAATAAATGTTTTTTTTTGCAGCAAATTAGCATATTAGAATGATTTCTGAAGGACCATGTGACACTGACGACTGGAGTAATGATGCTAAAAATATAGCTTTGCATCACAGGAATAAATTACATTTTAAATTATATTCAAATAGAAAGCAGTCATTTTAAATAATACAAATATTTCACAAATGTTGTTTTTGCTGTATTTTGGCTCAAATAAATGCAGGCTTGGTGAGCAGAAGAGACTTCTTTAAAACACATTAAAAATCGTACTGATCAAAACCTTTTGAGTGGTAGTGTATTAAATGTCAAAACCTACAATATATTTGTTGAAAAAATTTAATACTGAACACACTATTGAATTATTGGGCTGTGACTGCTTATTTTTGTGTTGCTGTCTGCTCTAGCTCCCTCCCTCCCTGTACAATAAATCCATGTGAATATCTGTCTCTGCTAAATGTTTTTAATGTAACTTTGCAATCGATATTGATGTCCTTTAGCACAGTATTCTGAATGATGATAATACTGGGGTGCTACTGATAGCTTAACAGATACTAGCAGTTTATTACTCAACTAGGTTAATAAAGATAAAACAATCTAGCGTATTTACAGATGAAACTGACCTGCACTTGAAGCCCTGAACAGGTCAGTGATGTAGCTACATTTCACTGCTGCTTCTGGCTGCTTCCTCTCTTTCATCGAGTCGCGCATCGGTTCTGTTCGGAATCGTTTGACAGAAGCATGGAACAAACGTGAGCTGATTCGTATAGCGCAGCGCTGCCAGTCAAGTCTAACCGATTTATGATTTATTATCGATTTATTATCGAATGACAAAATCGTAAATGACCACTTTGGTACATTGAGAAGGCATAAATATAAAATATTAATAATAATGATAACTTAAAAAGAAAAGAAAAAAAAACAGGGCAGCGGGCCAAATCAGCTGCCAGGCCACCGGGAATTCTCCCAGTGCTCCCGATGGCCAGTCCAGGCCTGGCGGCAACAACAATATTACAGCGAGAATCAAAGTTACGCCTTCTTTCTTTGCGTGAACATTTGGGCGGCGTTATGCAAATCTTCCCACACAGTGACGTAGACATGTGGGGGCGTGTTTAAACGAGGCGTTTTAGAATGGTGTGGACAAGTCTTAACTTTTATAAAGAATATTTCTTTGGGTTTGAGACTTCAGTCTTTGCAACTTTAGGGATCTTATCTATTCACGGAATCGTTTGACAGAAGCATGGAACAAACGTGAGCTGATTCGTATAGCGCAGCGCTGCCAGTCAAGTCTAACCGATTTATGATTTATTATCGAATGACAAAATCGGAAATGACCACTTTGGTACATTGAGAAGGCATAAATATAAAATATTAATAATAATGATAACTTAAAAAGAAAAGAAAAAAAAACAGGGCAGCGGGCCAAATCAGCTGCCAGGCCACCGGGAATTCTCCCAGTGCTCCCGATGGCCAGTCCAGGCCTGGCGGCAACAACAATATTACAGCGAGAATCAAAGTTACGCCTTCTTTCTTTGCGTGAACATTTGGGCGGCGTTATGCAAATCTTCCCACACAGTGACGTAGACATGTGGGGGCGTGTTTAAACGAGGCGTTTTAGAATGGTGTGGACAAGTCTTAACTTTTATAAAGAATATTTCTTTGGGTTTGAGACTTCAGTCTTTGCAACTTTAGGGATCTTATCTATTCACAAACAGCTTGTAACACTCCAAAGAGAAAGGAAAACTTGAAATCGCATCAAATGATCCCTTTAATAAAGAAAATTTACAGTGAAAATTTGGTTTTAAAATGAGTGATCAGAAAAACAGCTAAAGGGGGTGCTGAAGATATACAGTATATATATAGAGAGAGAGAGAGAGAGAGAGGATAGATAGATAGATAGATAGATAGATAGATAGATAGATAGATAGATAGATAGTAAACAGTTTCAATGTGTTGTCAGATTTTTGGACCCCATTATACACACACAATTTTAATCCTTCTCTATTTTGTTATATTTTGGGTGCATAAGGTCATCTAAAACCCATATTATTAGAGGTATATTCTGATGTTAGAAGGTAGATTTGTTAGTGTAACTTAATTTCCTGTACTTTTTGTCTCTCTCCTTACCTTTCATCTCCCTTTCCTGCCAACTTTAGGCAGTCGATTTGGATAAATGGGTATGTCTCATGTCTCAATAGATAGATAGATAGATAGATAGTAAACAGTTTCAATGTGTTGTCAGATTTTTGGACCCCATTATACACACAATTTTAATCCTTCTCTATTTTGTTATATTTTGGGTGCATAAGGTCATCTAAAACCCATATTATTAGAGGTATATTCTGATGTTAGAAGGTAGATTTGTTAGTGTAACTTAATTTCCTGTACTTTTTGTCTCTCTCCTTACCTTTCATCTCCCTTTCCTGCCAACTTTAGGCAGTCGATTTGGATAAATGGGTATGTCTCATGTCTCATCGTAACCTCAGCACCCTTCTTCTCCTCTGTATCTAAATCTCCTACTCAGTGTCCAGTGTGGATGAAATAATGCTGTAGCTCTTCTTCACTTCTAAACCTTTACTTCTGTCTGACCTTTGACCGCTGTCACCCGTTCCTCACTTTGTCTGGTTTGGTTGGAGTTGGAATCCCATTTGATCTCCAAATGGCATTTCAAATGACACCTCGTCCGTGTGTATAAGTGTGTACATTTGTAAGAAAGAGAGAGAGAAATAGAGAGAATTCCAGTGTGTAAGATGAGCTCAGTGCCACTGAGTCCTGGTAAAGGATATGAACTTCAGTGTACGGCCCACAACACTAACACTCATTCCTGGACATGAAAGCTGATAAGCAGGTCTACATGAAACCTGTGGCCACACAGATCTGCAGATTTCAAATGTAATTCACAAACTTGCCCGTGGCTTGTTTATTTATTAAATATTTTGGCAAATTTTATTATGTTTTCAGCTATCAAAAAGCGTTATCTCTCTATTTATACCTGTATTACAACATTGTTTTACATTTTTCAAAAACCTAAAACTCTGTTTGTTTCCATTCACAATGTTTTGCGTATGCTTTGCCCCTGTCATGTTTATTTATTAAATATTTTGGCTAATTTGATAATGTTTTCAGCTATCAAAAACTGTGTAGTCTTCTAAACTGTTTAACAATTTTACTTTATTCATATTACCAACTAATTCTGCAGCATTCAAGAGATTTTCCACAAACAAACAAACAAATAATAAATAGCTAGCAGGTTCTATGGGCTTCAGATCCATAAAGAAAACCTCATACAAACTCAATTAGAGATGCTTATCTGGAAAAAGATCAGCCAAATTAAGATAAATAAAAAAAATTCTCCTATTTTTCACTACTAACTACTGGCCTCCTCAGTAGTCATTTATGCTAACATCGACCTTTTCATTTCATCTCACCTCACCTCATTGGTGACAATTCTGGCATGATATACTCACCCTCATGTCGCTCCAAACCTATATGACTTTCTTCTGTACATTATTAAAAAAATTCTCCTTTTGTGATCCAAAAACGGATTTGGAGCAACATAAGGTTGATAAACAATGTTAGAATTTTCTTTTTTGGGAGAACCAGCTCTTTAAGGTCTGCTACGGTGCGCTCTCTCTCTCTCTCTCTCTCTCTCTCTCTCTCTCTCT